AAATCATGTACAAAATCCAATTAAAGTATTAAACCCCATAGTTTTAAAATGATATAATTTCCTGCAGTCAGTCCTTTATAGATATTTCTGCAAATGATGAAATAGATTAGTAATAAAATTAAATTATAATAACTAATTCTATCTAAAAAATAATAGATGTTAATATCATAATTGAATATCTTACTTGTTTTGGCTGTTTTAAGCGTCAGAGGAGACAACGACGACGACGGCGGAGGGGAGCAAGCTTTGAACAGAGACAATCTTACCAAGGGCTTGGGGATGTTTCATATTTCATGCTTGCAAAGTTTTTTATTTCTGATGGAAAACCTGTAATTTTTTTCTAAGTGAACTCAATTATGAATGCAAAAGCATGTGTAATTTCATAGGTACAAGAGTTGTATGCAAGCAATTATGTCAAATGTAATAGTTAAGGAGATTGGAAGCAAATGAGGGATTCATGTAATGCATCTTGTTATGGTGAAAGTTTTTAACAATTTTATGTAAAAAGGTTTCTCAGGCTAGTGTTGGTCGATTTGGCGGTTCTTTCACCATACTTCTCAGGATCTTTAGGTCGATTGTTTCTTTTTGTTCTGATGGGACCCTGCAACATGTGCATACTTTCTGATTTGTGTGTGTGTGTGTGTGTTCCATGCAAGAATGATATGTTGTCCGAGACCCGCTTAGGAGCACATAGAGCATGTAAAGTTAGTGTGTAAAAACAAACGATATAGTTGTATGATTGGTAACGAGGTTTTACTTGCACCTCAAAGTACGGTAATCAGTCACTTCATCCTCTTGCCGATGTCTTTTGGAATTGTACATGGGATATGGTCACTTAAGAAAAAAAAAATTACAAAAAATAAACACGTACAAAGAAAAATCTAAATTTGTTAGACACAAATTCACCTTATTCAAATGTACTAATCCAAAAGTCCTTTCTCAGACTAAAAAAAAGCCCTTTTGAACAATAGAAAATAAGATCTGATTTTCCTCCTCCTCGTCGCCTCAACTCCCTCTTCCTTCCTCCAGGCAGCTGGCGCAAGGTTGCCAAACTCGTCCCCTCCCCGAGGTTGCCAAACTCGTCTCCTCCCCTATGCGTTCTTCGCGTGCCATGGCTGGCATTAGGCAGGTCGGCCTCTGCTGCGGTTTTAGAGACGGATGGATGTCGAATTTCGACCGCTATGTGCGATGCCGAGGCTACGCCCTCGTGCCCTCACCCCCTCTCCCCCCACCCCCCCTTCGCGCTTTATGTCTCAGGTGCAGGTCTCGCGACCGGGTTGTGGCCAATTTTCCTTGTGTTTGGGGCGAGTGGGTAGTGGTTTGCGATCGTTGGGAGCTGTTTGAAGGTGGATGTTTGCAGTGAAGTCTTAATCGAGGTCGGGAGTCTCAGATCTTGCTAGCCATAACTGATTTGGAGTGTAGAGCTTCTAGACTGGTATTTTTGGTTGAGGTCGGGCTCTTCTTGGTAGGCTATCTTCAATTTGTTATTTTGGGAGGCTGTAGTGTAGGTACTCTTATACGGTGGTTAGGGAGGGCTTTATTGTATCATTTAAGTGTATGTGGTAGCTATTTAGTTTGTTTTCTTCTTTTAGCTTTTTTTAGTTCAAGTTCAGCTGCGTGGTTTTAGTCTCCTTCATGGAGTTTTCTATCCCTTTGGTCGTCCGTGTAATTGGTGGTGGTTACTGACTTTGTACTGGTTGTAGTGCTGTTAGTTAACACCTCGAGTGTACTCGTTTCAAGGTTTTCAGTTTTAATAGAAATATCGTTTGAAAAAAAAAAAAAAAAAACTTGAAGCCTTAAAAAAAATAAAAAAAAAAAGAAATCCTCATGCTGGGATTGGATAAATTTATTTCACCATGAAGAATTTCTTCCACGGGCAATAATGAATGAAAATTACTCGTTTTTTCTTAATTTTTGTATGCATCTGTTGGCTGCTCATAAAATTCCCAGGAACTGTAATCTTGCTTTTCTTAATTTTGTATTCTTGCAATGGCTGCTCATAGAATTCCAAGAAAATGCGATTAAACGCTAGAAAGCGGCAAGTGTTAGAGGAGCAAAAGGAGTTGTCTATAAGTCCTCCTATTTTTCATTGTGCGACACCCTGCAAATCAACTACTAATCCATAGTCTTTTAGGCTTTTAGCTACACTAATTCGACACATCTCATATGTTTTTACATGAAACGATAGAAGCTCAAGGGGTTTGTGCTATCCAAATTATAGGAAGGATTGAGTCTATGAGATCTCAATTTAACAAAAAAACTAGAATCCAACATTCAAGTAACAATATAACAAGTTTATTGTTACTTTACATACTTACATTACAGTGTCCCGTTACATTTGCCAACACCTCGAGTGTTTCCAATATGTTCTCCTAAACACAAAAACGTACTTGTCAAAAAGGAAAGAGGAAGGACAATTTTCGTCAATTCTAAGCAGATATTGTTGTTCAAAGTACAAAACTCAGACTTTCAGATGCTAATTCAAAAGGAAGTTGCAAATTAAATTACCAATTAGCCATCGCCCCAATATCTCAGGCACCATGAATTCAAAATGCCGTGAGTAACGAATTGACCAGATAATTCTATGCATTCAAGTCATAACATGGAATCAAAGGCTAACTTCTTGACTTCTTTGCGCCAGATTCTAACAGCAAAGGCTCGAGTTCCCCTTTTCTGTGCAGTTTCACAGTATCTAGCCACGAAACAACACATACAATTAAATCCCATTCTGCTCACTTAATAAACCCCATTAGTCAATGGTATATACGCTGATGCTTTTCAAAATTGTCGGCAATAGTCAAAAATTAACTCAGTGAAAACCCAAATTGCCTTTCCGGTAACTTTTATTTCACCGACGTTATTTAATTCCCTAAATTATTCTATATTAACACAAGGGAAAGAAAAAATTGTTCACATTTCAGGTTCGTGTCATAGTAACTCTAGCAACAGCAAACCAACTACAACTACAGTAAAGCGCACCTGTACAACCGCCAATATGCTTGCCTCCTGTCACCAAATTTCAATTATTAGTTTGGACATTAGAGAAAGAAGGTTGAGATTCTAACAGCCCTTTATTAGCAAAGCCCTGAGTGTCGACTTCAAGTTGTATTACTTCCTTAAGATTTAGTTCTTACCTATGAAAACATTAGGAACAGTATGTTGTCCAGTAAGTCTTTCCAGAGTCTTCTGCAGTTGTGGTCCTTGAGGACCTGAATGAAAATGAGAGAAATTTAAATTTAAGATTCAAGTGAGATGAGGCAATAACTTCAATTTTTTCATATCTTTTAGAAAACATTCTTACTTCTTACTACTTAATGGCATAGCCCGGAACATTTAAACAATAAATCTCAAATCAGCTGGAAAAATATAAGAAAAGTGAGCATTGTACACCAGTGCTTAACTATTTTACTTCTATTAGAACATTCACTTGTGAGTTGTCCTACGTCGTTTATATAGGGAAAATAAGCCTAATTTATAAGTCTAATAGGTTACTCCTCCTTCAACAATTGGTTTTGGGATGGAACCTCATTGGGCTTCATCTGGGCTTTCCTGTCATGACACGCTTCACATGCGTGGGACCACACCCGTTTTGCCCCCGTTTCTTACAACGTCTTCCAAGTTTCAACTCAAGATAGAATACATCGAAACCCATAACGTTTCAACTCAAGATAGAACACACCAAAACTAAAAAGAAAAGAGTTATGTGGATGATTTAAGAGCCCCATCTCACTAGCAATCGAACAAAACTTTCAAATCGATCCAAAAGGCATGAATTTGAAATTCCACCAAATGATTCCAAAGAGGATTTGAACCCACCGCAGAGTAACTTCGCCCGAGAAGTCTCAACCAATTTGTTAGTTATGGAATTGAAATCCAAAGGTTCATTCGTGATAATCCAAGAGATTAACAACGAAGATAAACAAGCCCAAACACATACACACACACACACACATAGAATCATACCTAACTGGTCCAATTCGATAACAAGTGGTTCCACACCAAGCCTCTTAAACAATGATTTTACCTCCGAACAGTACCTAACACAGCAAAATCACAAATGCAGTTCACATCAGACACTATGAAAAAAACATCTTATAACCCTTATTTAGAAGAGAACAGGCATGAACAAGAACTTTAAAAAAAAAAACTAAAACTGCTGAGTTGGGCACTTACGAGCACCAAGATTTGGAATAAACAACCACCGGATTTTCACCAACCGTCTTCTTCACAGCCTCCTCCATTCGGGATCCGAATGACGCAGAACACGTGATCTGACCCGCATTTTTTAGCCCAAATCTGCGAGATAATGAGATGCAGCCGAAATTGCTAGCTGATATGAGATTTGAAGAGGGAGAAACATATTGGATTGCTGGGCGAGGAAGATAAGACGAAATCAAAGGGAGGTCGAAGCTTCTGTTAGAGAGGCAGCTTGATGAGGCCACCATTAACGCCCTCATTGAAGAAATTGTTGCTATTGCGCTGTGTTCTAAACTCAGCACTTTCCACGTTTTTTAAGTTTTAAGAACTAAAATCGTGCGTTTCATGTAAAAACGTTTCGCTGATATTCTTCACCTTAAACTAGAGCTTGTGCCATGCACGGGTGGACAATTTTACGGCTATTTACCCAGCGATATTATTATATTTGTGAATTAAAAAATTAATAAATAGAATAACAAAAACTATTATATATTATTAAAACCTCATTGTAGACAACATTTTTTACATTGTAGGTGCACCATCCTCCTCGCAAACTAATACTTTCAAACTGTTTCGATTATGACACATGAAACAACTACATTCAAACTGTTTCGATTAATGACACATGAAACAACTACACACAACTGGGCGTAAGCCGCGTAACTGAACACACGCTTATTCAAGAACATGTCAACATGTGATAAAGACTGACTATGACTCTTGATAGTCGTCATGACATAAGAAACCATTAAGGAAAACGAATATCCAATCGTCCTCAGGACACAATTTTCTCAAGTTAAGGAAACGAATAACCTTAAGCCACTTGGATTACATGTAAACATTATAAAGAAATCAGGATTTCCAGCCCATCTGTATATTGCCATTTGCATCTTGATAGTTTTTTTTATCATATTTCTAGTACTACAGTGAATGACGAAGGAAGTATAATACGCTTTCCCCTGGAGCTGGGATCGGTGTCGCCATTAAGCACAACATAAGCCAAATGGTTGTAAAGATCACAACGAAGATTTTTCTGATTAAACCAGATATATTGCAACCTCGATGATTCCACCATCGTGTAAACATCAACAATAAATTGTTGAAAGAGCATTCGAGTTGAGAGAATTGTACGTGGCTCGTAAACCCTATCATGCATATGTTATGCAAATAGAGGTGACAAGGGTCGACCCGACCCGGACCTACGGGTCTTGGAACTGGACTCGTGATAAAACCGGGTCGATTCCAAGTTATAGTTTTTCTTTTTTGACCCACCGGTTCCAGGCCAGAAGGCAAGTCGTAGTTGTTTTTAATTTTTTAATTAAAAAACCCGACGGTTCAATGAACCATCGAGTCGTGCCGGTTCATTTGACCGGCCCTTAAATATAGCGGGTCGGTTTCGGTATGAGGCCCGGCGACCCGTTTGGTCGAGCTGGGTCGTGAACCGGCGCCATTTGGCCACCCCTATATGCAAAATATCCCTAACACTTGCGTGTTTTCGACCATCTTCAATTTTGACTTTAAGATCGGAAAATGACATGTTTTTCCTATAAACATCTTCTCAGTAAGGCAATAAATACCTTTACAAAACAATTTAAATATAAGAATTTAAAACTACGACAAAAATAAAAATAAAATAATATTCTGTGAAATATAGATTTTTGGGTTCACGCATAACTCCAAAATTTATCTTACTATATTTTGATTGTATAAATGTATTTCGAGAAATAATTGTTAATTAAGCCTCATCATCGCTTCAACGGCGGATCCAGGACATTTATGTAATGGGGGCCCATGATACTATGGCCCTAATCCCTTCCCCAATTCACCATCTCGGGCCTACTCTGGCATGAATTGTTCTTTAGCATTTTCAGTATTGTTCTTTAGCATCTTCAATTTGTTGGGGGCATGTGACCCCAACAAAGTAGGCTGGATCCGCCATTGATCGCTTGAGATGTCTATTATGCTCGTTTCTCCTGCATAACTCGTGGAACAGTTCGAAGCTTTTCCATGCAAAATTTGTTGATCGGCCGATTGGTATCAAATAAAAAAAAATGAACTAAAATAAGGTCTTATAATAATAGTTTTTTGTATAAAATAAAAAACATCTTACTATAAAGACAATGAAAAGAAATTGTGATCAAAGAATGATGAACAATATGGAGTATTTTACTGACTGGTCGAAAATGAGGCATTATATTGTGAAATAGTAAACGTGGATCTAGGACCATGTGATGATTGTATAGTACCAGCACGTTCAAAGTCAAACGACAAGTATTTTTGTTCGTAAAAACTTATTATTATTATTATTATTATTATTATTATTATTGTTATTATTATTATTATTATTATTATTATTATATCTATAAATGTACGTGATTCAAAGACAAAATTCTTACTTCAAATATTGGAATAAATATTATTCCCACGTGTAGATGATTTTGCCGGTCCAAACACTACAATAGAAGAAACATAGAATAAAAGATACAAGCTAACATTAAAATAAAATTAATAAGCAAACAAATGTAATGTTTTTAAAATAATTCATTATTGTTTGTGACGTCAGATAAGTATCTGTGAGTTTTTTTTTTTTTTTTNNTTTTTTTTTTTTGGCACATTAATCAAAATAGGACGATGACTCGGTGTACATGAATTTCTCGGTACAAACACTACCAAAAAAAAAGAATTAGCATAAACATTACAATGACATAAATATCATCAAACAACAATATAATATTTTTAAAATATATAATTACCTTTTATGACGTCAGTGGATGTGAATCTCCTTGAATTTACAAAATATTTTCTATTGGTTTCCATTGATCTTTAGCATTATTCGGAAAGATGATGAGTCATTATATTGTCTGTAAAAAAAAGCTTAACTTTTAAACATAAATTTACCAATATATATATATATATATATATATATATCATTATTTATATTAATAATATATATATATATTTTATTTAATTAATTATACAAAAATTATAAAGTAATCAAATATTAGGAAATATGTATATGAAAAGCCTATAACATCTTGACATGCCTGATAAAAGAAGTCGGACATAACAACACTATAGTATTACACGGTCCAAACAAAACTTAACAACATACTATTTATTGGCCCGAAATAAAAATTCATCACAATTTTACTGGCCCGAAATACGTAACTAAAAGGCCCATATTACAATTACGTCAATATTTATCCATGTATGTATTGTCTATCTATGTTGCTATGTATCTACCGTTGTAAGAACAAAACATTAGAGGGATTACAAACTGGATGAGTCATAAATTGATGGTGAGAAAAGCAAGCAACAAATATTTAACCTTAGAGTTTCTGTTGCTATTTAACTGCAATGAAATCTGAACATGAAGTGTGATTTGGTAATTGCTTTTGCTGAAAATAAACAGTAAGTAGATACAAGATGAAAATCGTGAGTGTTAGTTTAATATTGAAGAGTTTTACAGCAGAGAAAACAATATACATACTAACCTTTTAGTTGCGTTGTTCATGCGATAAAACCTAGCAGTTGCGTATATCTTATTGAATATTTGACTAAATAATAGTTTTATACATAAAATAAGTAATACGACGTACATAATAAGAATACATATCAGATGAAAGACTTTTTTTTGTTTAAATATAGATAATTATTTATTACGACTGATTTGTTTAAGTCAGTGTGGTAGGGATTTATTAAATATCTAGTGCCATATATATATTTGTATATCTATATCAATACATACAAATCTTTTCTTTAATTAAAGTATTCCGTATTAACATTCTTTAATTAAAATATTTTGTATCAAATATTGTAGGGTATAATTGTTACTGCTCAACAATTGCGAAGGAAATATCGAGCATCATGGCAATTTTTTTTGTATTTGACCCGATTATGTACAAAATTATTATTTATTTAATCTCATTAGTAATAGCATTAATGTTAAAGGACAAAACTATGAGCAAAATCTCGACAAAACTATGAGCATGTGATCAGGGCATTTTAACTGATTCAATTCACTTAGAAAAATCTTGGAAGATTACCAAATTTGCTTGAATCAAATCAAATCAACAACAAAAATTAAAAAAAAAAAAAAAAGGAATTGACCAAAATTATAACAACAATATTGGACCAAATATCTTAACAAAATTTTGGACTTTGTTATTGCGGCAAAATTGGACAAAAGATAAAAACACAATTTTGGACATGCTATAGCCGCAACTGTTCACCATATAGATGATTAGATTCTCTTCAAAATTTTGTATTGATTTTTTTGATTCAAATTTAAAAACGTCCGCCCTTTTTCAATTTCATTTTTCAAAAAATTACCAATAAAAGTAAAAATGAATTATTTAAGCGGGAATTAAGTTCTATTTCAGGTAAATACCAAACCTTTTTATATGTATATAGATAATATGGTGCAAACATGCAGGGAAAAGTACATAACATTAATTTTATTAGCAAAAATAACAAAAAGTTAAATTATATTTGTACAGTTTTGCGATAAAGCCAAACTGAAAAATGATTGGCGATTTCATTTATTATTATTTAATTTATAAGTTGAGTTATGTTAGGCAATATGTGGATTTAATGGGATCGTTAACAAAATACTCAACACTTTCTCAATTGCAGTTATCAATTCTCCTCTCTGTCAATTATTTCATCTATTTAGTTTATCTCTACAATTAATCTTCTCTCGTCGGAAAGAACTGGGACCCCAGAAAAAAAAAAATGCCAAAAAATAATATCTTTTTCAAGGTTGACGACAACCCTGCTCGTTGTGGTGGAGAAGAGCCACAAGTCGGATCCAATTCTCGTCTTTGAAATATGAAAGCTAATGTCAACCGAAAGCTTGTTCAGAAGAAGCTCCAATGGGCATCACGCTCAGAACAAGCTCCAACTGGAGAGTGCAGCCAAGTCCCGCCGTAAGATGCTCAGGGAAACACGAAGTCGGCGATCCGCCACAGCTTGGCCTGGAGGGATGGCGTCAAGAACATCGGTGACCTCATCTACGAGGAGACACGTGACGTCCTGAAGATCTTCCTTGAGAACGTTATTCGCGATGTCGTCGCGTACATTGAGCATGCCCGCCAGAAGACCATGATAGCCATGGATGTTGTCTACGCCCTCAAGAGGCAGGGCCATACTCTATGATTTTGGTGGCCGAGGTCTTGCGGTTGTGGCGGTGGCTTCATAGGGTTAGGCTTTTATGTAATTTTCTCTAGTATGAAGTTGGTTGTTTTAA